CGTCCCGCGCACCCATTTCGGCACATCCCTGACAGGTTTCGTGGCCCCATCACCCACCCGAGGCCCCAGTGGCGGCGCTCACATGCGTCGCCCACACCCACCCAATTCGGCACACCCCTCACACGTTTCGTGGCCCCATAGGGAGCTCCACCGAAGGCCCCAGCGGCCGCGCTCACATGCGCCCCCGCCACCCATCCCGGCACGCCCGTCATAACAACAGGCTTCGTGGCCCCATAGGGAGCTCCACCGAAGGCCCCAGTGGCACCGCCCGCATGCGTCACCACCCGCACCCAATTCGGCACACCCCTCACACGTTTCGCGGCCCCATAGGGAGCCCTACCGAAGGCCCCAGCGGCGGCGCTCACATGCGTCCCCGCCGCACATCCCAGCACACCCCTCGCGCGCTTCGTGGCCCCATAGGGAGCTCCACCGAAGGCCCCAGTTGCGGCGCTTACATGCGTTTCCGCCACCCATCCCGGCCCCCCCTCCGCAGCAGCATTATGTTTCGGGGACCCATAGGGAGCTCCACTGGAGGCCCGAGTGGCGGCCCTCACGCGCGCTTCCGCCGCCCATGTCGGCGCGCCCCGCGCGTGTTTCATGTCCCCATAGGGAGCTTCGCCGAATGCCCCAGTGGCACCCATCTCGGCACACCCTTCACACGTTCCTTAGTCCTATGGGGAGTTCCACTGAAGATGAAACCCGCAGCTGCGGTACTGACAACTGCATATGGTTGGGTTCTTCGCCCGGCTAATGTTTGTCCCCGCGGTGGATTTGCCGCGCTGGCACGGCCAAATCTCGCCCGCGAGGCCACCGCTCTCTTTGAGAAGGCGCAGTCGGCTGTTCGCAAGGCGGAGCTTGTTTCCACGGGCGCGTTGCTGACATGGGCTAGAGAAGCGTTCAAGTCAAGCGCATTACAATCCCTTCGTTTATCTAATGCGCGTGCTGCGCAAGAAGCGACTGCTGCAGGCTCGGCCACGCAACCATTTCAGCCCGCAGATGAGAATATGAGGCGGTGGGTCGACATTTGGATTAAGCGTGATTCTGCGGCGCTGTCAATACTTGAGGAAGCTAAGAACTGGCCCGCTTTGCCGATTATCACTGTTGATCAGGTAGAGCAGGCAGTCAGCAGCTACTCTGGCAGGGTAGCATCAGGCCCCATGGGGATTCACCCATGGGCATTGCCTCGCCTTCCGCCGCTAGCTTTCACCGCCATCGCCAAGCTGTTTAACCTTTGCAAGCAATGTCTGGTTTGGCCAAGCCAGCGCGTGACAAGCGAAATGGTTAGGCTGGCCAAGCCAGAAGGGGGGCACCGCTTAATGGCTTTAATAATTGTGTTCGTCGGGTTTGGGGCAGGGTTCACAAGCCGCGCGCGCATGGGTGGCAAGTCCAACGCAACTGCGCGCAAGCCTGGGGAACAAGGCGGCGCCGCAGTTCCACGGACAATGCCTTTGCGCGCAATCTCGCTGCCAAGGCGACGTCTGGCCGGCAACTTCTACACCTCCAACTACTTTCCCGGCCTCCGGCCGAGGGCGTCTACGGCATAGGCGCCGCGTCGCCATCAACAACAACAACAAGCAATCTCGCTGCCGAGATCGCCGGGCTGATTGGACAGGTCTCCATGTCGGTCCTGTTAGACATGCTCAAGCGCTTCGAGATGATACGCACAGAGTGCCTCCTGCAGGAGGCGAAAGAATTACAATTCCCCGCTCGCTTAGCCTGGGTGCTCGTGGATTTGCACAGGCAACCACGCCGCGCAGGCGGATGTGTTTCGGAAGTTTGTCCATGCAGTTCTGCTCGCACCACGGGGTCCTAGCGGGGTGCAACCATGCGACGGACCTCTCGGGCTCCGAAGAGAGCCAGCAACATTTCGCCATGCATTCCGCCGCGAGCTCTAGGGGATGATGCGTCGCTGCAGCTTATCACGGGTGACATCTTCTTGCTCGAGCAGGCTGCGCGCACTTTGACCGCGGACATGTTCCAACTAGGTATGTGGACGCAGGCCAAGAAATCAGGCCTCGTGGCCGGCGTGAAGTTGGGGCGCCGCTTCCCCAGCCGATTCGCCAAGACGCCTGCGATCCCTGCACGGCTATGGGTGCAGGGCGCGAGATGGCGCCGGGAGGGTCAGGCGAGTACAGCACAAGAAGAGAAACATTGCTGGGCGATAAGGAGGAAGTATCTGATGCTGGAGCACGCAGTTGGGTGCCGCGCTTCGAGCTTCTGGAGGACTGGCGCACTGCCCGCAGTGGGTCATGGCGGGGCAGTATCAGGGGTAGACGGCAGCAGTCCAGCCTATTGCAGACAGGTTGCTGCCCTGCTCGCTGGGTTAAACAACGAACGGAGGCAACGCGGCATACCTCTACGACCCTAGATTCGACTGCCCCCTGCCCATCCTTATCAAATACAGTGCGTTCATACGGGATGGGGGAGTGGAGCTTGGGAAGGCCCGACGGGCCTGGCTGCGCCTGGCTGGAAATCTGGAAAAGGACATCACTTGGCAACAAGCTCGAGGGTCCCTATCCGCATGCTGGCTCATTTTACTTCGAATAAGCTGGAACATGGCTAACGTGCATACTTTGGTTACTGATCAGGGCCAAGCTATCCTTCCCCCCACCGCGCACCCCTATGACGCGAGGTTGACCGCGATTGATGCAGAGATGGAAACACGCGCTGTTGCCGCAACATATGGATACTACCCATGATGCTGGCGCCTTCGCGCCATGGGTTAGCGCTCTGCGTTGCTGTACCAAGAGTATTATATGTCCGAGGCAGCGGGAGGTGTTAGCGGCTGTTTGGGCGGACGTCGCACCTCTGCCCGTTAACCTTGCGCATAAAGGTTATAAGGGGCTGGCAAGGTGCATGGCATGCGGCGATGCTGACGGATCATGCAGCCATATATGCTGTAAGTGTCTGGGGTTGGTTGAGCAGAGTGAGGACCCGAGTGGGGGCGCCATTCCTGAGCCTCTAGCTGAGCATCGTAGAGCCCTTACAAGCCTTAGCCTAGATGCAGCCCCTCAGGCGGGCAGCGTTTACAATGCGCACGGGGTCCCCGGGCTGTCTGCGCACGTTGAGCCCCCCCCAGAGTTGCCCCGAGATGTTGGCATTTGGAAATGCTGGGGGGGTCTTGGGGTCCTGTCTCTTTTCTTGATGGAAGTTGTCTCCAGGGCTCGATCCCCGAGGTTGCCAGGGCCGGATGGGCGGTTGTTCAGGTAGACGAGGCCCTCTTCCAGATCCGGGCCCTGTGCGGCGCTTTCCCATGCCCGGGCAGACCGCCGGGCGAGCGGGGCGCTGGGCTATTCGCCAGGCGCTCGCGAGGCACCCCTCACATGAAGAGCTTTTTCTTTGATTTGCAGGCGGCGATGCGCGAGGGCAACGCCCCGGGCCCCGAGCATTCGCTTGGCACAGCCAAGCGCGCTAGCATATGGAGGTCGATTTTGCAGCTTGGCAGTTCCCGAGCGCCCGCAGTTCGTTCAGCGCCCAGCCCGCAGGAATTTGGGCGAGGCTCTGGCTCGGGGGTCGTGCGTCAAAACGTGGGCTGGGCACCTTTTTTATGTACTTGTTTGCCAGGCTCGGATCAGGCTCGCGCGCTTGCTCCGACGGCTTTGCGAAAGCGAACACGGGGAACTGGTGTTCCACGACAGTGCGATTAGATGTTTAGCCTGGGCCGCCCAGAAGTTGCTGTCTGATGGTAGCTGGACTGCAATGGACCCCTACTCCGCTCTCCGTTTGCGCTCCATCCCCTCCGCCTTGCCCAGCGCTGTCGCAGGTCATGATATTTGGAAGGCAACCGGCAAGAATGCGCGGCGCTGCCGGCAGCGCGGCAGACAAGCGTCTTTGTTTTTAGTCTCTGAGATCTCTGCTGACGCATGGCGGTGGCAAGCTTTGCGAGCCTTCCGCTGTCCAGCGACGCGCGTGCAGCGCCTGGTTCCGTGGTTATGAGGGTTCTCGTTTCTCGCCTTGTCGTGAGGAGGCTGTGAGGGTTGCTCTGGGCGCGGCTGATCATGTGCTTCGTGGGGGCGATGACACCAGTGAGACAGACGTGTCACCCACGTCCGAGAGTGGGGGAGAGGTCCTTAATTCGCTCCGCAGGCTCGAGCATGACCCGTTTGCTGTGGGGCAGGTGTTTGTCGCAGATGCAGGGCCAACGGTGCTTTGGGCAGCTTCCGCAAACTGGCGTCGAGTTATGAAGGCCCGTCCAAGGTCCCATCCACGTTGGCCAATCAGAAGATGGCTGTGCGTAGAATAGAGCAGGGAAAACACCCCAAGACTGGCGCGAAGATCGTCGAGTCTCGCGAGGGTTTGCCTGTGCCTGCGCGCACAGACCCCAGTGCAGGGGTGCCTTATCCAGAGAGGGGGGAGCACTCCAGAACGGGGGTGAAGATCGTGGTGGCCGAGTTGTGCGAAGATAGTGGTGCTTCCGCCTCGAGCAGGTGCGGCCCCGTCGGCGTTCCCCCCCCCATGCCATGTTGGCAGGTCCGAGTGCGAGGGTGCGAAGGTCCCTCGCGCGATCCCCATCGAGGGGCCCATTGGACGATTCTGATTAGGTCCCTCGCCTCTCCCCTGGCTGGCGCGAAGGTTGCCTTTGCGTTGCCGTGAGGGTGGTGGTGGGTTGCGGTCGCGGTGTCGCCTGGGTAGCCGCGCTTCCCCCTTTCCCCTCGTCCCCCGTGTTGCCCCCCTGTGGTGGCGCACGGGGGCTCTCGGCGGCGGCGTCTTTTTGTCGCCCCCGCCCTGCCGCCCGCGCGCACCGACTCCTTCGGCGCCGCGGACGCCCTCGGCCGCAAGGCCGAACCCTGGGCCACCACTTCGGGGTTTGCCCCCTGGTGGTGGCGCGATAACTCGCGCCTCCTCCTCCTCCTTCTCCTCCTCCCTCTCCTTCCTCCTCTTCCTCCTCTTCCTCCTCCTCCTCCTTTTCCTCCTCCTCCTCCTCTTCCTCCTCCTCCTCCTCCTCCTCCTCCTCCTCCTCCTGTTCCTCCTCCTCCTCCTCCTCGCCCCCGTCCTCCCAGTTCCTCTTTCTCCGTTCCTTTTACTCAGAAGTAGCTCCTCCCTATGTCGCGCCCCGAGGTGCGTCGGCAGGGCGGGCGCGCGTTTCGTCCGAGGATTTTTTTTCGCCAACTGGGATTGTGAAGCTTAAAGTTTCCAAGAGCTTCATTCGGGGGTGGACAGAACCCCCAATAGCGACACGTCGATTCGTGAATTGTCCGTTTTCGGTGTTCGAGAGGGCGCCGTGGCCGTTATTTTCCAGGCTTGCGCCCGCCAGGTTTGGGCCCGAAGTCGTTTTCACTGAACCACGTTTTACTAAAGGGAGGTCTGTCCATCCCCGATTCATGGATGGAGGGCGGGTCGCTTCGCGGATGGAGGGCGGGTCCTTTTCAACATGTGGTTTTCGCCTGGCGACGCGCACGCTCGTCAAAGTTCGCGAGAGCTTCACGGATGGAGGGCGGCTCCTTTTCAAAACGCGGTGTTCTCCTTAGCGCCGCGCACGCTCGGCGTAAACATGTGCAACGGATGTTTTCTTCAATCTGCGGTTCTCTTATTAGCGCCGCGCACGTTTGTCGTAAAAGTTTGCAACATGCGTGGTTTTCAAAATGTGGTTCTTGCCTTAGCGCCTAGCGCAGTCGTCTTACAAGTTTGCAACAGCTTCGCGGATGGAGGGTGTGTCGTTTACAAATTATGGTTGTCGCTTTAACGCCACACACATTCATTCTCAAAGTTTGCAAAAGGTTTCCGAATGGGGGGGGGGGTCGTTTTCAAAATGTGGTTATTGCTTCAGCGCCGCGTGTATTCGGTTCAACAGTTTGCACCGGCTTCACAGATGGAGGGCTGGTTCTTTTTAGCAATCTTCTCTCGCTTCAGCGCCGCTCGCGTTCGTCTTTAAAGTTTGCAACAGCTTCACGGATGGAGGGTGGGTCGTTTGCAAGTTGTGGTTGTCGCATGTTGTCGCTTTAGCGCCGCGCACATTCGTGTTAAAGTTTACGACAGGTTAGCGGGTTCTTACGGTTGACGTCCCAGAAACGGCGTTCCAGGACGATTTGGGATTGCCGGGGCGCAACAATCGTTCGGACTCGCAGCGTTGAAGTCCCAGGAATGATGTTTTGGCACGATGCAAGACCGTCAGGGCGCAACAGCAAAATTGATTCGCGGCGTTGAAGTCCAAGGAGTGGTGTTTTGGCTCAACAGAAAGAGGGAGAGAAAGAGAGAGAGAGAGGGAGAAGTCGTGCACGTCAGAGGTGTATTGGCACAAGGGGCTGAAACTACAGCGTCTGCGACTGAGCCGATCGCACTGCGCCGTGGCTATGCGCAGCTTACCCGCAAGATATTCCGTGCGGCGTGACATAGCACTGACCGCGCTTGGTGATGCGAAGCCTCCGGCGTCGCTGTTTTGGCACAGTTGAGGATTATCAGACGGTTGTCTTCCAACGGGGCATTTCCAGCACTGAAAACAAATTCTTGTAGGCGCTTATACAGAAGGAACTTGGAGGCAGGGTTTATTGCAATATCGATGATGCGCCTTGGGTTTACACTGCTCCTCCTCCTCCTCCTCCTCCTCCTCTTCCCTCTTCCCCCGCCCTTCCCCACTACCCCGCCCGCCCCCCACGCAGCGCCGAGGACGAGGAGGCCGCCAGGGCGCGGGCCGCCGGGGTGGAGACCGCCAGGAGCCGAAGTGGGCACAGCGAGGAGGAGGAGGAGGAGGAGGAGGAGGAGGAGGAGGAGGAGCCATGAGATCCAGGCGTTGTTTTTTTGTTCAACCATCCTCTGGTGATGGGTCTTCGTTTTGAAGAGACAGCGCCCCGCATTCTTTCCTCTCCTCCTCTCCTCTCTTCTCCTCCTCCCCTCCTCCTCCCCCTCCTCCCTCCTCCGCAGTTCGCGTGCCTCACTCCCACCCAGTGCAGCGCTTCGTGGCCCCATATGGAGCTCCACCGAAGGTCCCAGTGGCGCAGCCCGCATGCGTCTTCCACGCCCAGTACAGCTTTTCGTGGCCCCATAGGGAGCTCCACCGAAGGTCCCAGTGGCGCAGCCCGCATGCGCCTCGCACACCCAATACAACGTGTCGTGGCCCCATAGGGAGCTCCACCGAAGGCTTCAGTGGCGCAGCCTTGCGTCTCCCACGTCCAGTACAGTGTGTCATGGCCCCATAGGGAGCTCCAGGTCCCAGTGGCGCAGCCCGCATGCGTCCCCCCCCACCCAGTGCAGCGCTTCGTGGCCCCAGAGGGAGCTCCACCGAAGGTCCCAATGGCGCAGCCCGCATGCGTCTCCCACACCTAGTGTAGCGCTTCGTGGCCCCATAGGGAGCTCCACCGAAGGTCCCAGTGGCGCAACCCGCATGCGTCTCCCCCACCCATTACAGCGCTTCGTGGCCCCATAGGGAGCTCCACCTCGTCTCCCCCACCCAGTGCAACGCTTCGTGGCTCCATGGGGAGCTCCACCGAAGGTTTCAATGGCGCAGCCCGCGTGCGTCCCCCCCACCAAGTACAGCGTTTCGTGGCCTCGTAGGGAGCTCTACCGAAGGTCTCAGGGGAATAGCCAGCATGCGTCTCCCACACCCAGTACAGCCCTCGTGGCCCCACTGGGAGCTCCATCGAAGGTCCCAGTGTCGCAGCCCGCATGCGTCTCCCCCACCCAGTACAGCGCTCCGTGGCCCCATAGGGAGCTGCACCGAGGGTCCCAGTGGCGCAGTCCTCATGCGTCTGCCCCGCCTGGTGCCGCGTTTCGTGGCCCCGTAGGTTGGGCACGGTCGGTCGGTTCGGAATAAGCAGAGGGGGGGCACGGGGGGCAGCACAAACCCGGCACACATCTTGGCACACCTCCACACATCCCAGCACCCCCAGCGCACATCCGAGTACGTCCACACATCTCAGCACACCGCTCCCAGCACACCGAGGCAGTACACGCACACGTCCCAGCACCGAGAACACCGATGCATTATCTTAGCACCAAGCACACCGAGGCAGTACACCGACACATCCCAGCACGCAGGCTGGCCCAGCACACTGAGGCAGTCACGCATCCCAGCTCACGGAGTTTAGAGGACACGGGGAACCTAGGAAGGCCTTGGAAAGTCTTGGGAGGGCATGGAGGCGGTCCTCCAAGGGCTCGGCGAGAGCCTCCCAGGGGCTCCCCGGGAGCTTCCAGGGGCTCCCTGGGGCTGTCCGGGGAGGTCTTGACAGCTCCGAGGGAGCCCCTGGGAGCCTCTGGGAGCACCTGGGGAGCTCTCCTGGGACGCTTTGGGAGCTCTGGGGAGCTCCTGGGAGCGCATTGGAACACTTGGGGAGCTCCTGGGAGCTCTGGGGAGACACCTGGGGAGCACATGGCAACCAGAAGCCAGGGAACCCGGTCGCCCACCGAAATCGGCCAAGCAGTTTCGCATGTGTTCTGGATCTCTGCGAGTTCCCCTTCAGGACAATCGTTGACGCACGTGGACTCACATCGTCGAGTGTCTGGGTTCGCTGTTCCCCAATTCGGCTTACTTATAGGGCTCTTACTTGTTTAAGAAGAATGGTGCCTCGGGGGGGCACGTTGCCCATTGCCCAGAGGTTCCTGGGGTTCCTCGGGTTCCCCAGGTTCCTCGCCCTCGGTGCATTGGGAAGCCATTTTGCCCGTGTCCCAGCGGTTCCAGGGGCTCGTCGGGTTCTCTGGGTTCCTCGGGATCCTCGCAATGCCAAGCAACGCCAAGCAATGCCATGCAACAGTGCCAAGCAATGCCAACCCATGCCAACCCATGCAAAGCAATACCAAGCAATGCCAAACAATGCAAAGCAATGCCAACCCATGCCAAGCAATGACAAGCGATGCGCCCAGCGATGCGCCCATGCAGTAGGCTTCTCCCAATTTGGGTCGTGCCGGGTTCATTCTGCTACTGTTGCCTCTCCCCCCGTTTGTCTGCCTTGCCTCGGAGGAAAGAGAAGCGACACCACCACCCCCAGGGATACCACCTCCAGCGAGAAGGTCCACGATGCCCCGCCGAGCTAGGGACAGGGGATGACTCGAGCGGGGAGAGCCACACTACCAGGACGACATCCCTGGTTCCTCGGCGCTGGGCCCCCTCTGGCGCCGCCCCTGGCGCGCTCCGCACGCTAGGGAGAGAGGTCCAGCGCCGATCAAAGCAACCCGCGCGGATCTCCGGTGACGGTTTTGCTTCATGCCGAATAGCAGTTTGAATGGTGGCATAGAAAGCTTGAGCTTTAAATCGGCACTACGTAAAAACACGACGTATAAACACTACGCAAAACAAATCACCTCCCCAGGGCGCTCCCGCGGCGCTCCCTCAGCGCTCCCAGCGGCGTCCCCGCGGGAGAAGTTCCTGTTCTGCGTAGTTTTTTACGTAGTACTTTCGGGTGGCGTGCCGACGCAGGGCGCTCCTGCAGCGCTCCAGCGGCGGACTGCCTGCGGACTCGGGCGACACTGACGAGAGACGCGGGCGACAGCAGTGCCTGCGCGTGTTTTTTGCCCCGCAGTGTTTTCCTGCGCAGTGTTTCCGGGTAGCGTGCCCATGTCAACGCGCTTTTGCTGCGCCCCAGCGGCCCGTTCCCGGCGGACTCGGGCGCCGCTCGCGGGAGACGCGGGCGAACGTGGCGTTGGCGCGTGTTTTTTCTTTTATGCGTAGGTAGTGTTCTTGCGAAGCGTTTTCGAGTGGCGCGCCGACTCAGGGCGCTCTTGCGGTGCTCCAGGGGCCCGCCCCTCGCGAACTCGGGCGACGCTCGCGAGGGGACGCGGGCGACCGTTGCGTTAGCGCGTGGCTTCTCCTTTTCCTTCTCGGGTAGCGTGCCGATGCCGACGCGCTCCTGCGGACTCGGGCGCCTCGCGGGGGACGTGGGCGACCGTGGCGTTTGCGCGTGGCTTTCCTTTTTTTCTGCGTCGTCTTTTGTACGTAGCGCGCGCCGACGCAGGGCGCTCCTGCGGGGCTCCAGCAGACCGTTCCCTGCGGACTCTGGCGACGCTCGCGAGGGGCGCGGGAGATCGCATTGTTTGCGCATGGTTTCTCTTGTTCCGCATCGTATTTTCAGGCGGTGTCTTTCCTGGCAGCGTGCCGATGCCGACGCGCTCATGCGGCGCCCCAGCGGCCCGCTCCTTGCGGATTCGGGCGCCTCTCGCGGGAGACGCGCGCGGTTGCGCCTTTTTTTTTTCTGCG